GTGTGCAGGCTCTGAGACCTCAGATGTGCAATCAGTCACAGTGCCACCCAACTGCTGTTCCTTCTTTTAGGCTGCCTGAAGTCATGTAAGCTTGTGTGGAGTAACAGCTTGCATGGTTTTGTATGGTACAAATAGCCTGTTGTTGGGGTATGCACAGGTACATCGTTATTCCTTGCAACTGATTATGGATGGGCTGAGAGAACATCACCACAATTATTTGTTTTTTCCTTCCACGTTGGCCCGTGCTCCTCATGTATTCCCAAGGAGAAATGACCCCGCACTTGTATTCCCAATGGACACCACTCTGAGGATGAGTGCAGTGCCTTGCCTGGATAAGCACATTTGTTTCTCCATCATCAAAAAGATAGTGAGATCTTCCCTTGTGCTTCAAGCAGAACTGTTGTGCTAGAAATTCCCAGCAGCATCCCATTGGCATGCTGTCTCCAAGTCCTCCAAAATGGATGGCAAAATGAAGGCTCTTGCCCCATTAACCCCTTGTTCTTTCTCCCACTCCCTTTGTAACTCTTCTTAACACTTTATGAGAAACCCCCACCAGTCATTTCACCTTGTGCTCCAGATAAACCTAAACACAGCTTCTAACACTGCAGTGTATTTTTCAGCCATTAAGATGTGGACAAGAGGTAGGACTTGAGAGACAAAATCACATCACAGGTAATGGACACAGTGAACTTTAGATCCGAGAGGTGTGTGCAATATTAGTTCACTCTGTAGCTGAATGTGAGCGCGATTGATATTTTATCTTAGCAGGAGGGATGAGCATTTGAAGGACGAGCATTCAAAAATTGCCCTGACATTTGACATGGTCAAGAAAGTAAAAGGCTGATATTCCATTTCTCTATTGTCAGAAAGATAATGAGTTTCGTGACTATTGGTATTATGGGAAAAATATAGCCTAGGTAGCGTGAAATGTGTGAGAGCTGCTATACATTTTGCATAAATTGCACATATTTTGTTCTTTTGATGGCCCCATTGAAACACAGCATGCCCATCCTTTTTAATTTTCTGGTTTACTGTACAAGTCTGTAGAAAAAGAGTCTTTCCATTTTTCAAAATGAAAAAATGTTTTCTTCAAATTATTTATAGAAAGAGCAGCGCTGTCATCGAGTCTGTCTCATCATATCATTCTTGGATATCAATTCCTAAGCTCGGATGACAAACCATGGCAGCTACTTTTCCAATAGCAGCATCTGGCTTCCTGGCAAACTCGAATTGCAGTTATCTGAAAAGCTACAGAGTGGTTTCTGAGCACATTTTATTTATTAGAAAGCAATTGTGTTGCTTCACTTCCCATGACTAAGCCAAGGAATGTTTAATATATTAAAAGGAATGATAGAAGCACAGCCAAGACGTTGCCTCTCAAGTGGCAAGCGAGCGACAATATTTTACCCTTAAGATGACCATTTCTGCAGCTCTGGAGGAGGATGGAACTACTGATGCTGACTTAAGATGATCCTTCATAGGGCTAAAGAAGAAATTCAGCCTTCTCAAACAAAATTCAAGTTCACCTTTCTCTAGACTCAGCTCCATGAAATGTGATGGTGACTTCTGTCAGTCTTTCCATGCTGTGGAAGCAGAGTATGGTCCTCCAAGATGAAAGACACCACCTGCTTGAGACACGCAGTTAAGAGCAACACAAGGAATAGGCAGGCCAATGGCTTACATACATACAGTGCCTCAGAAGTGAATTCAGCACTTGCTTTGCCACAAACCTTCTCAATTATTTCAGTGTTATTTGGAAGTAGCTCTGAAAGTAGTCTCCCAGTGTGACTCAGTGGAGATCATGTTAACCTGAAACATCTGAACCAGAGCATACAAAAATATAGCTCCGTCAGCAACTTAAATATTTCTTTTTTAAATATACCTGTGCCATAACTGATACCTCCTGCCACCCCATGTTCCTGCAAAGTTCTTTGCTGGAGTGGAGATCTTCGTGTCCATAAAGCTCTGCTGAAGCAAATCCCATTTCTTCAGTTCTTTGTGTGCAGCATAATCCAAATGAAATGCTTCAGGATGATTTATTCGTAATACCAGTATGAGGTTAGACAGAAGAGATACAAAGACCTGTAGGAGATGGCAACAACCAATGTCACTGATGTGCTCATAGCTGTAGAATATTGCTAGATGCTAAAAGTCATTCTTACATGCATAGGCCTAAAAGTCCCCTTGAAGGACAAGTGGAACGAGATATGTGTTCCAGGCTTTGGTGGCCGTTAGTCTGTATTTACATCAAAAGCTCTGTTTAATCATTTTCATTCTGAGAAAGTTCTCCCTGGAGATTTTCTTGAGCCATTTCCAAAGGTTTCTTTTAGTGAAATTCTAGTAATTCTGGTGTTACCTTTGCTAGATGATACATTTAAAAAAAAGAGAGCCTGGTGTATTGAAGGCAATGCCTGACATTTAGCAGCAGAAGCAGTCATCCCAAATGGTAACACGGCGCGGTTCTTTCTCTCCTTCTGATCGCAGCAGTGTCTCTCAGGCAAGGCTTTGTTAGTGACAGCTCTCACTGAATTCAGTTCAGTACAAAGTTTCATCTCCGAAATAACTGTTTTTCAGTTCAGAAGTAAAATGATCAGGCACAGGACTTCATTTAAAGCTTTGAACATCAGCATCAAGGAATCCAAATATTTCTGCTTTCAGTTTATTTTTTTTCCTGTGAAAAAAATACGTTTCTGGGCTTGGACACACTGTAAAATCAGTAGGGGTGAGGGGAGCTAAATTACAGGGAGAAGACGTGGGGCTTTTACTTCTCCTTGTCATGAGCTCCTGCATCTGTTCTGAGCCTAGAACAATTGGGTTTAATTCTCATTGAGGATGGAGGATGCCATTGCAGTGCACAACACCCTGCCGAGGCTGTTCTCCTGTGAAACTCAATGGCATCACTATAAGGCTGTGCCATAAGCAAAGGCTGCGAATCAAAGGTTTTGTGATGGGCAACCTTTACTACATACAGAGGGTCAAATAGCTTTCGCATTTAAGAAAAGAACACATGCTTTTTTGCTGCTGAGGACCATAAGCACTTTTGCCTTCCTTCTGCCACGATTGGTGATTATTCAATGGTGGGATTTAATGAATTCAAAATCCTTAGAAAATCACTAGAGCCAGACATCAATGCAAAATACTCCACCAGCTTTCAGTAGTGGAATATAATATTAGCTCTCCCACAATCTACTTCATGCATTTCAAAAGAATAGAGAACATTTTTAAACTAAAGAAGATAGCTTGGGCAGAAAATGATTGCCTGTCTTGGGTGCTTCTCTGTAACCCTTTAGGAGCCCAAGGTTTCTCATAAGGCAATAGGAGCAGCAGTTTTCTTGGCAAAGCAATGCTGGAGGGGAGAGGAGCAAGATTTAGTTAAGGAGTTTTGTTGACGTGCTGTTATCCCACACAACCAATAGGGCTTTATGCGGTGGAATGCCCTGCAGCTGCATCCCCCTGTCTGCTGGCTGAGGATGCTCAGAGCCCACCGGACCAGATGCCCCATCCTGCTCCTGTTGCACTTCTGAGTGGGAGATTGGGGCTATTTCTGCCTCGAACAGCACTGTGGCCATGGCTACAGCTCACCCAGCCCTCCTCTGCTCCTCGTTGGGAGAGCCAGCCGTGGGCAATACAAATAAATAATATTAATTAAGGCTCAGTAGGTTTAAAAAGCTGTGGAAATGGCTTCTCTCCTGCTGTTTCAGTATCTAATTTTCCCTTCCCGGCCAAAGCCCCAAAGCACACAGGTACAAACATATATTTTAAATGAGAAATTTGTTGAACCTCATTAAATTTAAATGCTTGATTCAGTTTTTCTGAACGCTGCTTTTCAGCTTACCTGCCTTCATTCTTCCATCCCTAATGGACACATCAATTCAGAGGGTGATTTTGCAATGGCACTATTGGACCTATAAGCACAATGGGAAAGTAAAGCCTAATTTATATGCTTAAACCTAACATAACTTCGGAGCTCTTCCGCATTTATAGGCTTTGTGTCTGAGCAAGTTTCCAAGGCTCTGCGAAATAAAAACCAGCCTTTAATTTGTGTTTGCTTTCTGCTTTCCCAGCTTTTGTGAAAAGGAAGAGCAGCTGAAAGGCATCGCCGCAGCAGAGCCATGCATGCACCTGCACCATCCACGCACTGCTCGGAAGAGAGCTGCATTTCTCGAGGTTTGTAGCTCTCGTCCTCCCACTCCCTGATTCACATACATCACTCTGTGTGCTGCCACGCTCCCTTCACACACATGCATTAGCTGATCAGAAGGCTCCCATTCATCTGCCTTGCCGCTGGATGGGTGGGGGCAGAACCGACTTGTCAGCGCAGTGATGGGAGTCAGGGCTGCAAGGAGGGGCAACGCCGTGACAAATTTAGATGTTTCTCCACATGGTTTTCCAAAAGGAAATATTTTCAGGCTCTAGTTTTGTTTTATAAATATATTTTTTTAATTTTTTTTTTTTTTTTTCCGAGTAGGAAACAATCAGCAAGCCACCCACTTGCCTACACCCCCCTTGTGTCACTAAGAGCACAGCGAGGCTGAAGGAGGAAACCTATTTGGCTACCCTGCAGCTCCCGACCGCATGGTACCCCGAGGGCTGCGTACCCCTCTCCCGCTCGCATCCCGGTGCGGTGCTTTCCGTGGAAGGAAGGGGCGGTGTGCAGGGGGAGTGCCGGGGCTGGGGGCTCGGAGCCGCGCTCCTCGGGCTCTGCCGTTAGCTGAGCCTCGGATCCCCCCCTCCCCAAAGGCTGCTCTGACCCCCGCGGAGCTGCGACTTCAGCCTTGTTGTCGCGCTCCCCCCGCACCATCCCAGCGCGATGCTCCGGCCTTGGGAGGGGCTGCAGCCTCCCACCCCCCGCCGCCACCGGGCGGGCGGCTCCTACCCTCCCCGGGGCGGGGCGGGGCGGTGCGCGGCCGTGCGGCGGAGCTCAGCCCCGTGGCGGAGGGAGGGCGGCTCCCCCCGTCCTCATCCCCATCCCCACCGCCGCCGCCTCCGCCCCCCGCCCCGTGACTCGGCTCTGCCTCCCGCGGGCGGCGGCGGCTGCCGGGCGGTGTCGTGCGGCCCCGTGCGGGGACTATGAAGCACCATGGTGTGGTGTGACCGTGGCGTCCAGATGCTGCTGACCACGGTGGGAGCTTTCGCCGCTTTCAGCCTCATGGCCATCGCCATCGGTACCGACTACTGGCTGTACTCCAGCGCGCACATCTGCAACGGCACCAACATCACGGCGGACGAAGCGCAGGGACCACCGAGGAAAGCGAGGGGCGACCTTACGCATTCGGGGCTCTGGAGGATCTGCTGCCTCGAAGGTAACGGGGGGCCGCGCCGTGATCGGGGGGGGAAGCAACTTCCCGGGGGCAGCGGCTGTGCCCGGAGCCCACGGGCAGAGCTCCGCCGGAGCCGCGCCGCTGTCTCGGACACGGCCGAGGAGGAGGATGGCGTTACCGTGGCAACCGGCATCTCCGAGATTGCCATGGGAACGGGCGGCGGGATGCGGAGCTCGGCCAGGGGGAGCTGTGCCTTTGGGGCAGCCCCCCCCCCTTTGCATCCCGTACCCATAGGTTGCAGGGATCTAGGGGGGCTGCACGTAGTCTGGGGGCTTTGGGGGCTTCTGAGCTCTACAGGCTGCAAGGCTGGGGACTGGACAGGTGCTGGCCTCGGGGGTCTGAAGGTTTGGCTGCAGTTCTTTGGTAGGACAGTGGGAACCCAAGTTCCTCCTGCATACCCTCAGAGGTACTGGGAACCCACTATAGGATGTTGCTGCTGTTTTAGTGCTTCAGCACGGGTTTGGGATGACTTAGTCCAGACTAAGGGTCAGGCAAAGAACAACGTTAACAAATAGAAGGATTTGTGGCGTATGGCTGCAGTGGGCAGGGGCACACCCCACTCCCCACAGAGCCCAAACACGTGGCTCCATCCCTGAAAAGGGAGTTGTAGAGAAGATACTGCGGGTAACTGCTGGGACAAAGAAGCACACGGGTGTGTGGAAGAATCGGCATAGCTGATAGCAAAGCCCAGATGTGAGCCAACATCTGCCGAGTGAGCACGCAGAGCTGTGACTGTGAGACATAGGAGCCTCTATAGCACTGGGTGTGGGCAGCAGACCACCACCAGCCCCAGCCCAGCTGTGCTGGATGAAGGCAGCACATGCTGCAGGCATTCACAGGGCTACTTTGGGGCTCATGGGGGTGGAGGATGCCTGGGTCTTTCTTGCCACCATAATGCACTTGGCATATCGATCTCGGTGCGCCTCATTCAATCAGCGCAACTTAGCACATGTGAACTTCACAGACCTGGGATCCTGCTTTATTCTAAGTGGCAGATGGCTCAGCCCAGCCAGCCCAGCTGTATTCTGAGGTTTTTCCTTAGAAAGAAGCTGTGGAACTGCAGGAACACCTCATTGCCACGTCTCTTGTAATCTCCTTGTTCTAACCATCCGCGGCTATGGCGTAACGAACATTTTTCACTTCAACTATCACATTTACTACCTCAGGATAATGTAAAATGGCTGTAGGATGCATAAATATTTTTAGACCATAGAAAGGAGAAAGAGTTACAGAAATGTGAAGTTTTACTGGTGACAGTAAAGCTTGGCTTTGCAACTTGTAAAGAAATGTAACTCTTAGCATGGGCTTTTCTGACACCTGGGAGATGTGGGTTTGCCTCTGAGCGCATCTGTGTTTGCCTGGGCAATGCTGAGCACCCTCCACCTGCCCCAAAACTGGTGGTCTTTGCTGAGTTGTTGGTGTGCCCCAGGCTCTGTCAAGGCAAATAAGCAGGTTGGAATCGTGCTTTGCTGGGCTGGGCCTGTCTTCTGCAGGAGATACCTGAGTTTACTAAAGTCACGGTTTCAGCGTGGTCCTCCAGGAATCTCATTCATTGGAACAAAGTGCAGCTTTGGCTGAAGGCAGTGGGATTTTTGCCTGGATTTCCACTAGGGTTAAGTCAGAACTCTGTAAAATAAGAAGTCGGTGAGGTTGTGAGGCAGAGGCTGTGCTGCACACAATGCGATGCTCTGAGCCCCGCGCTCCCTGCCTGCGCCAGGCAATGCCTTTACCTGCTGAGCACATTCTGTTTGCAAGAGAATTTGTGGAAAGATCACACTGAGCAGCTGTGGAACTTAAACCCTCAGGTGACAAAAGTGCTTCATGTGACCCCTGCACCCAATAGCAATTGAGTGTTTTGGTTTTTTTCTTCTCCGAAATTCAAGCGCTCTTAATCAAATGACAAAGTTGTCAAATATGTGCTCAGAATGAATAATCTTATTAAAAAAAAAGAAAAGAAATCATCTGCTCACAAATATGAGAAGCAGGGATTGCATTCTTTGCATTCTTTCTCACACTTTCTGTATCATCTCTCTCTGTAAGAAACAATGCGTAGATGCATGAAGATATTTATGTTCTGGACTGAGCTGTGGGACTTTGATTTCGAGATGGAAAGGTTCCTTTGTTTCATGAGATAAATTAACCATTTCTGGAGGCAGATTGAAGAAAACACCCCCGGGTTGTTTCAGAACGTCACTCATCCTGAGTGGATGGGTCTTTTAGTAAAATCAATGTAATAATTACAGCTCCGAGGAGGTACACAGCAAGAAAATCATTTCAGTTATAGATTTTTACATATGATTAAATGGTCTGTCCTCAAAGCTATTTTTAGGACAATCTTTCTGTGTTTTGGGATAATAATTATAAAACCCTACTTAATTTACTGTAATGGTCTTAAGCACCGTTTCGCTCATCTCAAAAAAAAGGTGTATTTCAGACATAAATGTGCACAATCAGGAAGCATCTTGACCAGCCTCTTCTATCGCTATCGATGTGAATAAAGCGTTATACAGAGTAAATTTCAGGTCAGTTGAAATTTTCCACCAAAATGTTTCTGAACTCCATCCATAAAGCAATCTGCACTCTGTATGTGAGCTGTCACCTGCTTGGGGTCCCAAACTGCAGGATTTCAAACACAATTAACAGAGCAGAACGGACAAAGAAGAGCCTTCCAAGCAAACCAGTGTGTGTTCCTCAACAGTTTCCTGCTTTTCTTCTTTGGGATAACACTTTACCAGAAATTATCATCATAATGGTGACTGAAGGGATACAGTTTAGGGCTCCAGCGTGCTGTCCTTGTTTGGAGCTGCAGCTGTCCTTCATGTTTTAGTACTCATAGTGGGTACTACTACGGAGCTTAGTCACTCGAGAAGCATCACCAATGATATAGCAGTCCAATTCTCACCTGTACAATCCCAAATCTGTTCTTTTAGTTTATCAGAGGTGGAAGTAAGAGGCTCATTGAGTGGTCTTTAAGCAATAGCAGTATTTCTGCATGAATGGAAGACTTACAGCTAAGGTAATTATGTAAGTAGGAAACTGTTTACAATAGTTCTTGGTACAAATATGGGTACAGCAGGATGAGGTGCCATTCGATCAAGGTTTGCAGTAAAATAAGCAAGGGGCTCTCTGGCAAAGCTGCTTTTTGGTTTGCTGGGACCATGACAAATGTATGTTAACTTCAGTTTTGACAGATAAAGACAAATCTTCACTGGAGAGAGAAGCTTCTGATGAAGTCCTCATATGTCTGTCTTGACTTACCTGAAGTTTGCATCCCAGCCTGGGAATAATAATAATAGGAGCAAATCAGCCCCATTTCACATGGCTGAATAATCCCTTTGTGGCCAAGATGACTTGAAGGATTTCACCTCTATAATTTTCCAGCAGCCCCTATTCCCATGGTAAATGCTCAGCTCTGCTATGTAAGCCCCACACAGCCTTACACACAGGAGGATCTGCTATTAAAGTATTTGCTTAGAAAAAAAAAAAGAAAAAAAAAAAGATGTGAAAGCACTGCTTTATCCACTGAAACTGCTTATCTTCATGAACAATCATGCTGAAGTTAATAGGACTGCTCAAACTGGGAGCTCTGCAGGCCCCATGACATCTAGATACGAAATCAAGTAATGTACTTGTAATTTAAATTTATTCAAAGAGTATTTTATTAAACACTTCAGAATATGAATGGCTTTGAATCCATTGTGTCTACTGCGTTCAATATTCCCTGTTTGCCACTTATTTTGAAGTGGTGCAGTTGGCCATTTAGTTCACGTGGAACCATTTGTCTGAGTAGCTGAAGTGTTTGCTATCAGGAGGAAGGACTGGGCAAATCAGCTGTAAGTAGAAAACTTGCACAAATGCCCACTTGCACAATTATTTGCAAGTCGTCTGGCTCGGTTGAAGTCTCACATACATGATGGCACGTGCACACTGAATGAAAAAAAAAAGCCCTTACAGATGGTTGAGGCAAGCAAAGAAAGGAAGGCTGCTGTCCATCCATACTACTGCAAAGTAATGGTTCATCCAAAGAGACTGAATGTTCTTTAGCATCCTCAAAGCAATGAGAGGAAGTGTTAACCTCACCACTACTTGTAATGATGCAAGCTTTGTATTCGAGTTTTATTTCCAAAGTTGTATTTGTCTAAGAGCAAGTTCTGCATCAGCGTAGTATCAGTCAAGACCTACTTTGAAGATTAAATCCATAGGCACAAGGATGTGTTGGACCTAGGTGAACTATTATCCAGAAGTCTTTCAAAACCATTTTAAACACATTAGAGAAGGGTTTTTCTGAGCTTCAGCCCATGATTTCGTTCTTTCCTTCCATACATTCTGCTCACACCATCTCGTTTCCTTGGTAAAACGCGTGCTGGGGAAGAGCTCGTGCTGCACTGATTGTTTTTAAATGCAATCTTCTGAGCTCCACTGACATCATTTCAGCAGTGTTTGAAGCAGTGGGGTTTTGTCAGAAAGTGATTGAGTGATTCCTGACAGCCTTGTTAGGTTAATTTCTTTCTGTTGTGTTCCATTTGCTGGAGAGAGAGCTTCAGAGTTTGGAGCGATTTTTAGAGAAGTGAAGTTCAGTCTTTTTAAAATATGGTCTGTAGTAAAACGTGCTTTAAAATACTAAGATTTTTTTTTGCTGGAGAAACTGTCAGCAGAAGCTGGGCTAAGGGATTAGCTATTCTGTTAAAAAAAATAAATGCAGACCTCCTAAATACACCTCCTGGAACATTAGTAACAGAAGTTCTCAAATGGCTCTACTGATATAACAAAACAGCCACTCTTCCTGAGACACTATATGAAACAGAGATCTGAAGCTAATTGACTGAATATATGTCACTTTAATGAATTAATTTGCTTTCTTGAACATGATCTACTATATAGCCGATAGGGAGCTATCAGGCTACACAAGGGCTTTGGTTTTTCTCTGTGACTCTCAGCATGCCAGCTAACCCGACGCAAAACTTGGAACCCAAAGACTTTCT